CTCCATCTGGTGCTTGGCTGAGTTCTTTATCTCTTCATTTGATGTTTTAGGGTTTCAGGATTGTTGTATTCTCTGTTCGGCTTAGTTTTTCGGATCTTTGCTGTGGAGGGACGGAGTAGTGCTTCTGCCTAGAGTGCCATTTTTCCTGAATGAATTTCTTAAGGCAAATTTCCGAATTAGGATTGCTAGATCAAAGAGTATAAATGCTTCTAAACTTTTTGATGTGTATTTCCAAATTGCCCTTCAGAAAGACTGTCTCTTTTCAAATGATGGAAGAGCCTTTCCCTCTTGTTCTATAGGGGATATTTTTAGGTAAACTCACAGTTACAGAATACCGTAACAGGTTCCTTTACTGAATCTTTTTTCACTGTCTGATGTCTTTAACCAAATTGTTCATCTCTATGAACAGATTTACTTAGCCTAGTGGATGGGAAAGAATAGGAGGTTAAAGCTGGAATCCCTCAACTCGATAACATCTCGTGTGTCATTTCTTGAGAATGATGGTCACGTGTCTTTGACACAAATAATCTTTTTACAAATCAGTTGGAAAAGGGCTATTCTTTTAGGTTTGGGAGTAAGTATGGGTTAGTTTGTGGAGTATAGAACTGACTCTTACTTCTTCCAGGTCAAATATGTATCCTTCATAGATATCCTTCTCATTAAGCTGTCAGCTTTAAGTAACAGGATGAATTTTGAATTCCACCTTTCTCCCCCAAAAAAACAAGAAATGATCAGATACTGGGGAATATCCAAAGCAAGTTATGTGGTTTCTCTAGAACAATCAGAACAGTTTGTAATTAGATTTCCTAGGAAATGATGCCTGGGAGAAGACAGAATTCTTTAAAGATTCCTTTTGGACCCTCAACAAATACTAGGAACATAATCCAGAGTATAAACTGTAATTAAATAAAGAGTAATATATAAATTTTATATTATTTAGAGCTAAAGGTTCCATGGATTATTAACATTATTCAATTAACAAAATCTGACAGCCTACTAAATGTCATCCCAGGCACTGTGCTAGCCACTGAGGACACACAGATGATTATTTATGTACACCCTGCCTCATTCAAAAAGAATTTGAGGAACTACAAAAGTAAGTAAGATGTGGCATAGCTGTTGACCTCAAGAACACAAATGTGCTGACTGCCTAATATATGTCGGATTATGTTATGTACTTTACACATAAGGATTAAATGAAAAAATATTATGGCCTTGCAAGATGGGTCATGTGTTGTCTAGTTAGGAGGTGTTGGTAGGGGTTGGGTTTAGTAATTTGGCCAAAATTACTGAGCTGGGATCTGAACCTCAAGCTTTGTAGCTCCCAAGATAAGGTGGCTTTTACCTCCCAGTCTAGTAGTAGAAAGAGATTAATAAACATATAAATAACAGTATCTGCCTCAGTCCTAATGTGCAAGATGAACAAAAATACATTTTAAAAAAATCACAATACAGCAAGTTATACTCTATAAACATAATTATAAACAAAGCATATGAAGTCTAAAAAGAGCACAGTTACCTCTTCTACTAGAAGAGGGAGATTTTCTAGAGTAAGAGGGTCTTGAAGGATGAGCAGAAATATGTCATATGATGATAAGGGCAAAGAGCCTATTCCAAGTGGATGAAGTAATAAATATAAAAACCGTGACCTCTTCAGAGAATGATAAGAAGTTCAGAGGGGGAAGAGGCAGAAATAAGGTCAGGAAGTGAGGTGGGACCAGAGTGTGAACAGCACTGAGTGCCAAGTTAAGACACCATCTGGGTCATAACCTTACCTCAGAAGTCTTGAGTGAGATTTCCACACACATAGACCTTCCGACAGCAGGCAGCTGCCCTGCCAGTGCCTTCTTAGCTTCATGTGTAACCTCTGGGATGTCCTTGATTGCTAAGTTGAACTAGAAAACAAAAGAGACTTTTGTATCCTCAACACTCACAAGGAACCTTATGGAAACATAAAGTAAGACTTTATGTTGGCTAATACAGACATTGCTTTGATTAAGGAGGACATTCATTCACCTCTCCCCTCCCCATAAGGGATATCCTACATCAAAAGCCCAAATCTCAGGTTGAGAAAGATAATTACCTATTACAAAGATTAGTTAACAAAATATTATTTTTGTCTCCCAAAGACTTAGCTTTTCACCTGTCACAGCAGGAAGCCAAGAATCAAATAAATCCAGGACTAACATTTGATAAAGAACATATTTTCCAAGTGAATGGATCAAACAGAATTAGATATTTTAACACTATGATTTAGTAACACTATAAACAGTATTCTGTATTACTGAACTTGAGAACTTTAAATTCATTCCGGTGACAAACACCACAGTATACCCATTAGCACAGAACAGGATTTTTACCCAATCTGAACCCGTTGGGGATGAGGATGAACGAGTACAAATCTTCTCGCCAAGTCGAGCCTGGACAATCACTTGGACAGTCTAAAAAATGCAAACAAACAAACAAAAAAAAAGGTGGAAAGCCTTAAAAAACTGATTTGGCTCCTGGTCCAATGCAGGGTTAAAAAACGCCAATTAATCATAACTATACCTCAGGAAAGGGTATAACTTAAAACAGTTAAGAACAGATTAAAAAAGACAAAACAACATACAAAAAAAAAAAATAATAATACTCTAAACCGTCCTGAGGGCACAGTGCCAACCAGTTAGAGGAATTATAGTTTGAGCTTGGAATGTGCACTATCCTCACGCGGCAGACAGAAAGCTGCACATGGTGGCTATGACTTTCATAGAGAAAAGAAGTCCAACTATGGGTTTAAATATTCACTGCCACAAGCTTATATAATCATAGTAGATTTAAACTAAGAACTGCCACAATTATTCATATTGCTTGGCCCATATGGCAAAAGTCTTCCAAATAAGTGGATTGTTCTAGCATGGCAGTGGTTGACAGGAAGGAGTGATAGAGGTGAAAATGGTGTTATTTTAGGTCTGGGAAAGTATAACTTCTAAAGTATTCAAAATTCAGTTTTAATTCCCTATTTACCAGGAAGGGAACAATAAATGAAAGACAGGCATTTCAGGGTAAGTTGATGCTTAGGGAAAGATACCCCAAATGCTGACCTATCCTACTCACAGTCTTTGTTCCTACCCCGAGAGAACATACTGTGCCAATAACCTGGCATAATAGCTTGACATTTCTGCAAACAGCCTTGCAAAAAAAATTTTTTTTTGAACAAGCAGCTGTGGAAAATTGGAAGCTACTTTTTAGTTACACCCCCAGTACCGCCTCCAATCTTTAGTTTGGTTTACACAGCCAGAAGCATCCCTTAAAATGGGCAAGCTGCAAGCTGTTATGCTACATTTCCAAAGAGGATTCTCAAAAGGGAGAAACATGGAAGTTCTTTCTAAGAGTACTAGGCTCAAGAGAATGGACATATTACCTTGAGGGCAAAAAACTTAATGAACTTGTCCAGGTCCTTCCTGTCCTGGGAACTGAGATCAGTTTCCATTGCCTATAGGAATCTAAAACAGAAAAAATAATTTTTTAAAGTGACCAGTATCTTTAAAAAGGGATTGCTAGATCAAAGCTTACAGAGATGATATTGTCTACTAGCTGTATGAATAGTCAAGTGGGAGTGGGAGGGAAAATTATTTTTTCCCTCTAAAGATACCAAAGTGAAAAATATTAAGATGTAGAAATTATCTTTTGAGGAAAGTAAATTCCACACAAAGAACAATATCTAGGAACCTAAAAAAATGGATGAGGACAAAACAATTTACCTGAATTTAAAACTTTGAGCTTTAAAAAAAAATATTTATTTAAAAATGCTTTATTACCCAGCATACTGAGGACTAAGGAGTTTTAATGAGACAAAATTCTGCTAAATCAACATAAAATTAGTTAATTGTATTCCTTCAAAAGACCACTAAATCAATTAAACTTTTTTTTTTTTTTGGAGGGGGGTATGGACCCGGTTGAGAATCTGATGACAAGTCCTTTCTCCAAAAAAATGAACATATATGGAAACATTTGCATATAATTTCAGAGGGTTCATGGATTTTACAAAATGCACCATGAAGCCCCAGGCTGAAATGGTTTGAGATGGGGTTTGGCATGAGGAAGAAAGCATTTTGGGAGAGAAGAGCATGAACAAAGAGGCATACGTGAGAGAGCAAAATGGGTTTTCCAAAAGATTGCACACAGATGGGGAAGTAGTAAGGCTGGTTGGGGATAGACCAAGAGTGTCTTGAATGCAATGCTAGAGCCTGATCTGCATCTTGCTGTCGTTCATTGCCATCAAGCTGCCTACGACTCATCGTAACCCCATTTGTACACCCAGTGTGCCCCAAGTAGGAGCCTATTCCAGGCTTTTGAGAAGTGACACAATCAAAGTGGAAGTATTATCTGAATGGTGGTTTAAAAAGATAGCTTTCCTGACACAATGTAGAACAGTTTTGAGTATGAAAACCAGGGAAATCATTTGGGTCCTTGGCAATAACTCAGGCTTGTGGTTAAGGCTAAAACTCTAGCACAGGCATGATTTGGAAATAGCATGAGTGGGAGACATTTTACAGGAAGAGCTGATAGGATTTAAGGACTAACCACAAAAAGGGAACAAAGGAGAGCCAAGGTTTTAAACTTGGTTCCTGAGAACAAGTTTAACAGGGTTTCAGTCAACAAAAAAACAGGGAAGCCAGAGTAAGAACTAATTTTAAGGAAAGGTGGAAACGAAAGAGGAGAGTTGGAAGAGAAAATGACTGCAGGTTTTTAAAAACACTGTTCTTTATTAAGGTATAACTTACAGTTAAATGTATATATATACCCATGTAATAATGACTCAAGATATAGAACATTTCTAGTTATTTCAGAAGGCTTCTTTATGCCCCTTCAGTCAATAAACCCACCCAAAGGAAACTATTATTCTGACCTGTATCACCATAGATCAGTTTTGTCTATTTTCAGACCTCTTATACGTGAAATCATACAGTAGGAATTCTTGTGTGTGTGGCTTTGTTTATTTAGGAGCCCTGGTGGCACAGTGGTTAAGAGCTTGGCTGCTATCCAAAAGATCAGCAGTTTGAATCCACCAGCTGCTTCCTGGAACTCCTATGGGGTAGTTCTACTCTGTCCTACAGGGTTTTTATGAGTTGGAATCGACTCGACAGCAACAGGTTTACTTAACATTATGTTTGTGACATTCATCTATATTGCTACATGTAGCAGTAGTTTATTTTTTTCATTGCTAAGTAGTACTCTATTTTATGAATATACATTTATCAATTCCACTGTTGATAACATTTGAGCTGTTTCTTGTTTTAGCCATTATTGCGCATGGCATGTGGTAAACATAAACACTCACTGCTATCAGAGATAAAGCCAGGTGTGGAAATGCTGGGTCACAGAGTATACATACTTTCAGCTTTAACGTATACTGCCAAACATTTTCCCGGAGCATCTGTACCAATTTACACCCCCACCTGCAGTGTTCCAGTTACTCCACATCTTTAACACCAGTTGGTACTGCCAAATCTTTAATTTTAGCGATTCTGGTAGGAGTGTGGTAGTATCTCATTTAATATGTAGTTCCTTGATGACTGCATTTCTCCTATTAGCACCTTTTCGTATGCTTACGATTTAGATATGCTTGTTTGTGAAGTGCCAGTTCAAGTCTTTTGCCAATGTTAAAAATTGGGTTGTCTTTCTTATTGAACCGTAATTATATATCGACTTGACAGCAATGGATTTGGTTTCAGTTTGGTGTGCATGTATGTGCGTGTATATATATACATATATTCTGGATACAAGTATTTTGTTGGATTTGTATACTGCAAATATCTTCTCCCAGTTTATGGCTTGCCTTTTCTTATAGAATCTTTTTTTTTTTTTAAACAGCTTTGTTGCGGTATAAATGACAAACAACATACTTACAGCATACAATTTGGTAAGTTTTGACATATGTATATACCTGTGAACCCATCACCACAAACAAGATAGTGAACATACCCACTCTCAAAAGTTTCTTCATGCCCCTCTGTAGTACCCGCCCCCCACTTAGCCCCTCCTTGGGAGCCCTGGTGGCACACCAGTTAAGCACTTGGCTGCTAACCAAAAGGTTGGGAGTTCAAACCTGCCCAGCAGCTCCACGACAGAAAGACCTGGCGATCTGCTTCCCCAAAGATTATAGCCAAAAAAACTCTATGGGACAGTTCTATTCTGTCATATGGGGTCACGATGAGTTAGAATCCACTCAGTAGCACCTAACAATAGCAGCCCCTCCTCAACCTGTCCTCACTCTCAAACAACCAGATATGCTTTCTATCACTATAGATCCCCATCTGCATTTTCTAGAGTTTTATATAAATGGAATCATACAGTATGTGCTTTTTTGTTGTTGCCTGGGTCAATATTTCATTTCTTTCTATTGACAAGTAGTATTCCTCTTAATTTTTTCCTTTACAATTAGAACTTTTTTTAGTGTTCTGTTAAAGAAAGCTTTGCTGATTTCAAAGTCATGAAAATATTCTCCTACATTTTCCTCTAGAAACACAGTTTTAACTTTCACATTTACGTTCATGATCTATCTCAATTTTTATATGTTATGAGTTTGGAATAAAGGTTCTTTTTGATGTTGATGTTAAAGCAAATAAGTTCAGTTTATTTAATAAGTTGAATTAAAAAAACTAGAAGATCAGTCTGAAAATGCCGAGTCAGGAACTAATGGAAAAGGTTAAGATTGAGGCTAAGTTTGGAGATAAAAACTGGATATTCTCCAAAAAGAAGTGATAGTTAAAACTACAGATGTAGATGAAATCATCAAGGAAGATAATAGAAAAAGAAAATAACAAAGACCCTTGGAAAATATCTATGTGAAAAGGACCACAAAAAGGAATGCACTGAGATAAGAACTAATCAGAGAAAGAGAAGGCAAAATAGTTTCTGAGCCATTTTCATTGAAATCAAGGGAAAAGAAAAGTTTCCTCCACAGATGAAGGAAAAGAACTGAGAAAAGGCCACTGGATTTGGCACTGTGTTGATAAAGACCTCTGAGAGGGTAGTTTCTTAGAGTGGGAGTAAGGAATGGACTCAGCTACTTCTGAAGTTAGATAGGGAAAGATCTCAGGCTCTTTGTTGAAAGGATTTTGTCCTACAGGGATATTGGAGCAATTTATAGGGAGGAGAGAAAAACCACTGAAGGAGAAATAAAACATGCAAGAGAACAAATAATTGTTGGAATAAGATGCCACAGGAGATGGAGTCCACTGTGATCATGTACATTTTCGGATTGATCTTCTAGTGTTTCTAATGAAGCTTATTAAAGGTTAATGGCCTAAAGTGATCCAAATTATAAATGACTTAACTTTTGAGGTCCATCATGTGTAGGTTTGAAAGCATTTGAAATGTATACCCACCTTCAGACTTTCCTAATTTTGATTAAAAAGAACACTAACAAATGTTTAAGTAAAAATAAAAAGACCTTTTAAAGGGTTAAACAGCTCAAGGCCTGGAAGTAACATAGCAACAGATTAGAGATAAGAACTACAGATTTGGTTGCCTCTATTTTACTCTAAAGTGGTGAGGCATATTTTCTCCACCAGAGCATCTACCAATGCAAACATTGTAACGGCACAATGAGTCTCACACATTTTTGAACAAATAGTGGCACTAAAAAGATTGTGTAACTACAGTTAGTTAATAAGCCAAAAGTGCTGAGGTCTCCACTGGGGAAAAAGTTATCTCTCAGGCATCAGAGCTGCTTGTTCCCTTAGGCCCAGACATTCACCAGTTAATTCACCCTTTACAGCACAAATGTGATGTAAGGTTTACATTATGCTTTGCTTGTATGACTAATCTTAGTAAAGTATTATATCATATTGCTCCTACGCTCCAGAATTTGTGGCAAATTCTTCAGCCTGTTAAGAATTCCCATGTAAAGTCAACAGGGAAAACAGGTGATGGGATTTAGAAAAGGTGATCTAAAGGTGAGAGGCCTGCTGGCACTTTCAGAAAGGATCTTGGTCACTGAAACAGTTAAACAGTGAGCCTGGACCACGGTCCAGTCCTTGAATTTACATGCCCAGAAAACGAATTTTGTTAATCAAGGTTTCAGGAACTATTTCAGTTACAAGAGACAGTTTGTATGCCATAATTCCAATTTACTAATTGAGAAATAAAACCACCAAGTAGGAAGAGAAGTGTCAAGTGATCAACATGTTGTCATTCCTTAAAGCAGAACATTTTGGGAAACCAAAAAAATATCAGATAGTTAATTGGTATCACCCCTCTACAGGTTTCATGTATGTTTGTCAACCACAGGGCAAGTAGGTGAGAATTCTGCCATCCACTCTAGAGAGCCTGAAAATGTATGTATTTAACTTTCTTTAGACTTTGCAGATCACTGCCAACACTGTCATTGTTACCACTGTCAAAATGACTGTCTCATATTAAGGGTGAAGGCTTCCTGATAGGGTTTTAATGCAATACATCATCAGCTGCATGGAGACTAAGCCAAAGAAATAGGACT